TTATTATTATTATTATTATTATTATTATTATTATTATTATTATTATTTTTTTATTATTATTATTATTATTATTATTGTTAGTATTCTAAAGTAAACTGACGCAGACAATGTACTAAGTATCCATACATGTTAAAGAAAAAAACCATAAATAAAATCATAAAAAAAAAACAAAAGAAAATGTGTGGATTTCAACTCCTGTGGCTGGCTGGGGAATTCTGGGAATTGAAGTCCATGGTGTCAACTCATAGTTCTCTGGTCTTTTTAGAGTTGCCAACAGATAGGGAGGAGGGAGCAGTGCAGCCGCTTGCAAACTGAAAGTGCATTCCATAAATGTTTTCAAAGATAGTAACTAGGTGACTGAAGTTTCTGCCATGCAAATTTCTAACTGGAGAGCATGATTGATGACTCTGGGCTATGGAGGTTTCCCATTGGAGGATATGAATTATGATACACCCAGGGGTGGGAGGAAAACCAGGGTCAAGGGTGACAGTGAATGATGTGCCTCAGAGTCTGCTGCACCCAGGCAGTGCCGGCATATTAACTCCCAATAAATCCTGTTCAGTTTTGGCTCAAGACTCATGATTTAAATGGGGGTGTCAGATCCGTATATCTGTTATTTCTTCAGTGGAAGAAGAAAAGGAGGAGAAGGAGGCTGATAAAGAAATCCTTTCTTAATGTAACCTGAATATATTTAATCTTATATCGAATTTGTATAACCCACACATGATACGATGGAAGGAGAAAAGGCAGGTAGCCAGAACTATCGCCCTCTGAGAGGCACAACCGGGAGATGAAGAAGGTCATATAAATTCCACAGTGAGATTTCGTACTTGGGGAATCTCTTGAATAGTTCGTTCTAAAAAGGGGGCGCGGGGGAAATTAGGTATGCCCTGGGAAACTGAGAAGATCGTTCCTTACAAGAGGGGTGGGGAGGAATTAACGTACTGGCTTTTGTTTCACTAAATACACATCGAGATAAGGGGAAGGGTTCTAAACTCCCTTATCTATCCCTGTATGCCTGAGAGACCTCAGACGCTGCTTTGAACTCCCACAGCAATTGTCTCATCTCAATAAAGGATTCCTTTGGGATACGTTTGGATACGTTTTCAGGAGTGCATTCTAGTTGAGTGAATGGGAAAAGTTTTGTAGCCTGACAGCGGGTAAAGTTGCCAAGATTAGACACCCCCCCACCCGATAACACACATTTAGCCTATAAAAACTATATTTGGGTCTTGTGGAACGACCGGTGTTGCACCCTCAAAATCCACGCCCGATTTCTTTTCTTTTTCTCCTCAAGTTCAAGGCCATCAACAAAGGAAAACAGACGAACATCGTGGACTCCATGCTAAGGATGTTAGAAAGTTATTCCAGCAACCTGGAAGAATTAATCCGGGAGAGGACGGAAGAATTGGAGGTGGAAAAACAGAAGACGGACAGACTGCTGTCGCAAATGCTTCCTTCGTAAGTGCAAAGCCGCCGGCCTCTCGGGCTAGACGCAGGTGGTCCTCGGTTTACGACCGCAAACGGGACCAGAATTTCCTTTGCTCTTAAGTGAGTCCCGCCTGATTTTTGCCACTTGTATTGCCACGATGGTTAAGTCGATCCCCGTGGGTTTGTTAAGCGATTAAGGCAGTTGTTAAGCAAATTCAGCTATTCCCGGGATACTGCACGGTTGTAAGTACGAGGACTGGAGTCAGGAGATCCCCACGGTCTCTTCCAGCCCTATGAATTCAGGGACTGGTTGGAAGTCACTTTTTTTTCAGTGCTGTTGTAACTTCACTAAACAAATTATTGTGAGCCAAGGACTACCTGTGTTGTGTTATGCCCTCCAGATTCTATTTTCTACTCATTCTGTATTCTATTCTATTCTATTCTATTCTACTCTATTCTATTCTGTTCTATTTCTATTCAATTCTAATTCTATTCTATTTCTCTTCTCTTCTATTTCTCTTCTATTCTATTCTATTCTGTTCTGTTCTGTTCTGTTCTGTTCTGTTCTGTTCTGTTCTATTCTAATTCTCTTCTCTTCTCTTCTCTTTTCTCTTTCTATTCTATTCTATCCTACTCTATTCTAATTCTATTCTATTTCTCTTCTCTTCTATTTCTATTTCTATTCTATTCATTCTGTATTCTATTCTATTTTATGTTCTGTATTCTACATTCTCTTCTCTTCTATGTTGTTCTTCTCTTCTCTTCTCTTCTCTTCTCTTCTCTTCTCTATTCTATCCTATATCCTATATTTTATTCTATATTCTCTTCTGTTGTTCTGTTCTATTCTGTTCTACTATTCTATTCTATTTTATATTCTATATTTTATTCTATATTCTATAGTCTCTTTTCTTCTGTTATTCTGTTCTGTTCTGCTCCACTCTCCTATTCTATTCTATTCTATTCTATTCTATTCTATTCTATTCTATTCT